GCTACAGTGCCACGGGCACCCCACTGCCGATGGAAGAAGTCACGACGTCGGGTGGATGTGAAGCGCCTGAAGAAGATGTTGAGACGAAACCTCAGGCGGGTCTTTACACGTGCGATGACGTCCACAGCGCCAGGCCTGGAATTACGGAAGCGGAAGTCGTTACGAGATTGCCAGACAAAGAACTTACAGAGGTTGAGGAGGTAGATGAAAACACAAGGGGTGGCCCTCAACTCATTAGAATTGAGGCCAAAGAGGACATGACGAAGAAGGAGAACAGGACACATGGAAGAGAAACCAAACAGTAACGACTGTATCCAAGAAAGAACGCTCTGAGCAAGAGGGCAATAAAAGAAAAGGTGTTCCGGTGCCTCCACCGGGGCACCACAGAAGCAAGGTAAAGGAACAGATAAGCCGAAGGAGGCCAGACGCTGTGCAGTGTACAAGACGCCGTGTGCAATCTTCCAATTAAGGTCAGTGACCTGACGATCAAGATGGAAGAGGGACAGGGAGCGCCACGTGGCAGGCCAGTCCAGATTCCCATAGATGGTGTTAAACTTCTCCACGCAATGCAGCGGGACCATGTTCTCAGACAGTAGGTAACGGTAACAGAGACTAGTAGACATGTTTAAGACAGGAGCACAAAAAAGGGGAGTAGACGAACCGTATACAAGAGTTTGATACCAGTGGGAAAAGGAGCCATTAAGGCTCCGCCAGGCTAGTAATAGAGATTGGTAGAAAGGCGGCAAGGCCTTGGGGTCAAACGAAAAAGGGCGGGAAAAGACATCAAGAGGATAGACACCAAAACGCGACACAAAACAGGAAGACAAGGAGACACACCAGCCAGAGGGCGAGGAGACAAATGTCCTCACCCACTGGCCAAGAAGAGCATAGACTTTAAGACGAACATCAACAACAGAAAAACAACCAGAGACAGGGGACTGGGTCACAGCAGAGGGAGAAACGAGTTCCCGCTTACCAGACCAGAAGAAGGAGAAAACCAGAGAGGAGAGTTCCTTGCACACCCAGGCCGGCATATGGATGAGGGAGGCCACATACCACACCCGGGAAAGCGCAAGAGCATGAATAACAAGGGCCTTGCCACGGAAGGATAGGGAACGAGAACGCCAAGACTTGAGAACATGGTCCACCACATCTATCCGAGGACGCCAGTTTACTTCTTCAAGGTTCCCAGGGCCAATAAAGACGCCAAGAACCTTCAACCTGGAGGAAGACCAATCCAGTAGGACAGGGGGGTCAGAGCGACCGCTCCGGCCCCCAAGCCAGAGGCCCTTGGACTTGGCCAAGTTAAGCTGGAGCCAGACGCATTTTCAAGTAAGGCAAAAGCCTCAAACGCAGCCTTGATGGAATCGTCAGAGGAGAGTACCAGCGACGTGTCGTCCGCGTATTGGATAATGGGGGAGACCGAAGCGACACCGGGAAAGGTGATGCCCTGGATACGAGGGTGGGAACGGAGATTCACGGCAAACACCTCGGCAACCAGGACATACAAAAGTGGCGACAGGGGGCAACCCTGCCGGACACCACGAGACAGGCGAAAAAACGGAGTAAGGTGACCATTCACATTGACGGCGCTCCTCACCTCAAGGTAGAAAAGCTCCACCCAGCTGACGAAAGAGGGGCCGAAACCCGTAGCTTTTAAGGTGGCTAACATAAAGCCCCAATGAACCCTGTCAAAAGCCTTCTCTTGATCGAGGAAGAGAGTGGCAACAGGGTAACCTGAAGGTGTTGCAAAGTCAACAACATTCTCACCGATGTACCGCCCCGGAACTCCACATGTTTGATCTTTGTTGACGATCAAGTGAATGACCTTTAAAAGACGGCCGGCGACACATCGGGAGGCGATCTTATAATCCCCATTGAGTAAACTGATGGATCTCCAGTTCCGGGGGTCGAGACGGTCCCCCTTTTTAAAAGACAAGGAGATAACGCCACTGCGCTGGGACAGAGAGAGGCGACCAGAAAGAAGACAGGAGTTGAGAAGAAACAAGGTCAGAACCAAGAACATGCCAAAATTTAAGGTAAAACTCGCACGGGAGGCCATCAAGGCCAGGAGACTTACGACGAGCCATCCCGTGGAGTGCAAGAAAAGCCTCATCTACGGTGATGACACCTTCACATGAAATGGAAAAAGATAAAAAGGTAACCGAAGGAAGGAGGTGTAA